TCATAAAAAACCAATTAGCTACCTGTAATTTTAATCCCTAGTGTATTATACATATATATTAACTCAAAAAATTGAAACTTTAAATGTTTATATCTAATAAACGAATAAAGTTATATTAAAAATTCAAATGACATTTGTTATTAAATTAAAAACTCAAACATTTTATAAAATTCAAAATATGTGTTACCATTTAAAAAAATAAAGTTGACACCCTTACCAGGCATAAGGGATGAACTTAAAAAGTATTACATAGTTAATAATTCAAGAATAATGTGTAACTAAAGATAGTAATAAAAAAAAATTTTTAATTATTATTATTCTGTAAGTAATTGAGTGGGTTATGATAAAAAAATCACCCTGTATATCAAATACAATATTTAAGTGTAGAATATATAAGAAAAATAATTAAATAAAATTATAATAAAATTTACTTACTTATTATAAATCTATTAAAAACATGTGTGTATTTTATATCCAACATGTGATTAATATTAAAAGTTTTTATGGTGACTTTAAAAAATTCCTTTTGACTATTTAATTTTACTAGATATTCTTCTACTTGTTTCAGGTTCTCTACCAATTCATTAAAATAATTGTTGATAATGTCCTTTGTAATGTCCTTTGTAATGAGCACAGATAAATCAATAAATTCAATTTTGTTTTTATACAAAAATGATTTCAACGCCTGCATCAATTCCATAATTGATAATTTGAGATTCGATTTATTTTTATTAATAAAATTATTAAGGCATTCAGAAGTTTTTTTTGAAAATGAAAAAAAAACTTCATTTGGACCATCACCAAACAGATTCATATTTACAAACTGTTGAAAACATTCAATTATTCTCTCACCAACAGAAATAATATTTTTATAGAATTTTAAAGGTTTTTTATGGTTACTATGAAAATTATAAATGTATGTTGATGAACTAAGAACTCTGATAAAGAATCTTACAAGTATAGCAATAGGACGAAATGTTGCTGTAAATATTAGTGTATGAAATAATTCTATATCTTTCCTATACAAAGTATACTTGATATATCTAAATATATCAAAAAGGGTCAAGCTACTTTTATCTTTACATTTTATTGCAAGTGGTGCAAATCGAATTATATCTAAGACATTATCATTTCGTCCGTTTATTAACAATGGATATTGTTTATCCTGAGAATTTCTCATTATTTCTTTTTCAAAAATTTCACAATTTCTGGTCATTAAGTCATAAAATATTAATTTTTTTGGTAAAAATTCCCAATATTTAGACCTTTCAATAGCTTTATTAAAAAAAGTATATACTTCACTATATTCTAAGTTTTTTATATTATCATCCATATCGTTTTGTTGTTTATCAGTTTGTATTAATCGATTTTTAAGTTTTTTTGCAACATATTGAATAATTTCGGGAGTATATTCTCCTGATTTGTTGTAATCAGGGCAATAAATAAATATTTGGTCATATATCACATTTTTGCAATACTTTGACATCATCGTCTTAAACTGTTCCAAAAAAAAATCATGAACCATCTTGTAACCTTTAAGTATACTTGATGTTTGATCTGACAAATCATATATGCCAGCATCATTTCTAGCATAAAAATCTATATATTCGGATACGTTATTTAAGTATAAATTTACTGACATCAATTCTGTTGAGTATAATGTTTTATTAGCTTCTCTTAAAACATCCAACATTACTAGTATGATTTCGCCATGACTTTTTATTGCGTCGCCATACTTGCTTAAACTAAACACATCATATTTTTTTATATTTTCACTCATTTCAATTAAATATCGATTGTTATGATTAAAATAATTTAACATATACATCATAAAATTGCACTGTAATATATAAAAGGGTAATCCAAGCGTAAAATGAATGTGGAATAATGATATGATTTTTATAAGTATCATTTTTTGTCATATTAACATAAAGACTAATAGAATATTAATACTAATAAATAAAAATTACTTTAAGTATTTTCCTATACTTTTAGATGTCATTTCATATATTTTTAAATAATTTTTTATTTTTAATTATTTACCATATGATAAACAGTTGATTTATGTCGCTATTTGTTTAAGTGCTTTCAAGTCACGCATAAATTTATCATATTACAATCATTTTCAATATTGATGGCTTTAATAAATGAAAATTTAGTTCCACAGTTATATAAATTACTAAATATGTTTACTATAGTCCATAGTTGAGGAAAACAATTTTAACACCAAAATATCATGTTCTTTTAACTACGCTAGCCTTTTGCATAGAAAAGTTAATTAATTTTGACAAATTTTTTTTTAGCTTAGATAGGTGAAAATGGTACCGTTGCGCTTCGCTACAATGACTAAGTGATCGGGCTCTACGGGGCTACGAAATGTCTCCACGAGTGTAGCTTTCCTAGCTCGGGGAATTGGATGCGTCCTCTTGTTATGGATAGAAGAACAGCCTATTAATTTGGACTGACCAATAAGTGGTCGTGGACACTGAGTCCACCAAAAGCTCGTTAATTCTGTAGATATATATGTAGCGTTTGGGTGCGAACGGATATATATTGTTACCCAACCAGTGAAGTTAACCGCTAACTGACCGGAGGAATAGTCTATAAGGGCGACTCCTCACAATTATAATACATGGCCAATGGAGTAAAGTGGCACGAAAGTTACTACATCTGGGAATTTGGATGCCCCGTGCTGGCTCTTGGTGTGGGGGGTACCCACCAAGTGTCGTTATCAAGCGAATACACGACAAATGTAGGAGTGTTGAGGCAAGCTATTGCTGCCAACCAAGGGGCTCGTACTGTTATTGCAGCAAGTTGTGATGACCAGGCCACTTTCACCAGCGAGATAGCAGGGGGACCATTGAAACTGGAATGTTTGGATACTGTATCGGTTATGACAACGGCCATCTCTCCGGAGGCGCCAGAAAAGCCTTCCAGTTGAAGGTGTATGCTCCACACAGGCGGGTAGTTAATATGGCAAAGGCTTTCATAGAAAACGTGAGAGCCCTTGCTGATCTGCAACTGACCCGATCCCTGGAGCAGTAGTCGCTGATCGTTGATGCCGGGGATCCGGCGACTAAATAGGACGTGTCGTTCCAGACGGGTTATTGATGGGACACATCTGTGTACCCACTGCAACAGTCGTCTACACAATGCCTGTGCCGAGTGACAGTCCTGTTCTGGCTATGGGTGAACCGTCAATAGTCCTCGCGGCCCGGAAGCGAAAAAGGTAAAGTGGCAAGAAGGGGAGGCAAAGGGAGTAGAATCCCAAAATGGACTTCGTAGCGCCTTCGCCATCCTTCAACGCTGGTGTACAGCAGTTGCCTGCGATAGTCACCGCTACCGCTCCCTTGTGAACAGAAGTGGTGAAACTCAAAGGGACTAAAAAAGTGAAGCGGTCGACGGCCTCCAAGGTGAACGTCACCGGTGGGCCTAATCCCAAGACTTCTCTACCGTTTCAAAGCCCGATTGTCACTCAGCTTCGTGCAAAATCCTGATGATGGAGATGGTGGTAATCGGGCCCTTTAGGGAAGGTCAAGACCGAAATTAATCAAGAGCTGAGTTACAACACGACGTGGTCTTCCCCGTTAACCGGATCCCATTCTGAGATCCGTTGCCTAGGTTGCATCACGTGGAGATGGGGATTAGGCTTTGCTGTGGGTTGGCAAATAATTCACAAAAGCACAGAGAACACATGAATACCAAGAGGCCGGAAGAAACCTTAAGTAGGCTTCTACGGCCCTCCAGACTTTCAAGGGTAGGCCTATTTTATGAGGGGAGAATTAATGTTTTAATGGCACAATGCTTCTCATTGGCTAGTCAAGTAAACTTTAAAAGACCTATGCGCAATCTATTATTCTATTAATTTGAGTTAATGTTTCATATGTGTATTGGTGTTTTATATCTCTCATCTCCCATGATAATGTGGTTTATTAGAAAAATCATCATTATAAAAATATAAATAAAATAAAATTATAAGTGCAAATATCTATTACAAATATGTACCCAAATCGAAATTGAGCACGTCCTCGCGCTTTGTATGACAATACATATAAAATAAAATTTTAATGATATAATATTAATGTATAATATAATAATAAAATATGGTGTAAATGTAATAAAATAAAAGTAATAATAGTGCTAGTATCTTATATAAATCTATATACAAATATTGATTTAGTGATAATAGTATAAAATAAGTATAATGTTGAGTAAAAATACATGTATAATGGTTATAAAAGTATAATAATAATAAATGTGCGATAAAACTATTTTAATAAATATGTAATTAAAATGTTATAAAGTAAACTAAAGTTAGTGATTAATATAAATGTTATAAATTATATACAATTGATTTGATTTAATAATAATTAATAATTCGACGATAATTATGTCTTATAATAATAAATTTGTGGGTAAACAAAAATGATTAAAATGTTATAAATTAAAATATAATTAGTGATTAATATAAAATGTATGAAAGTGTATTATAATTAATTTAATAATTAGACAATAAAATGATATAATACTTAATATACTAATGATTATCATTATTCTTTTTAAAAATATAAAGTTATAAAAATAAATAATATATTAATTGGGTTTATAAAAATATAAAAAATAAATTTAAATTTTTACATATAATAGTATTTTTGGATTATATTTTTTTATTTTTATAATTGTGAATATAATGAGAATAAAGATTTTATTTTATTTGATTTCTTCCGGAAATGTTCAATTAGCAATTAATGTTAGTACTGCCACTAGGATCATATAATTTTGCTGACATTTTTTATCTCGTTTTTTATTTGTTGTCGTGGTGGTTCTGTTGTTGGCGAACGAAAACAATAAAGTCGACATCAGTTCGTCGCCATGTCGATCTGCTAAAGCATACATTGTGTTAAAGTCCCCAGCGCAAGTCACAGACCACTTTTTCGCAAGTGTATACGAGAACATGATTTGAGTACTTTGGATGCGCACGAGCTTCGGTAATGTACGCGTAATGGGATTCGTTTCAGTCGCCGATTTTCAACAGATAAAAATGATTCTGTCGCTCTTGGTCAGCGATTCAAAGCGGATACACCGACTATTACTTCTTGATATTGTCCAGTTTCAAGCCGTTCTCGTCAGGGATACATTGTTCGAATATTTTATTTTGGAACATAGGCCTGAGGAACTTTAACTCCAAAATTACTAACAAAATACCCTAACGCGACGGAAGATATGCGACTGTTTGTCGCCGTTTGTCGTTATGGCGACGATTTTATAAGATTTTCCAATAAACGCTACATGATATAAACCAATTAGCTACATATATTTGTAATTCTACATTTATTATACGAGTATATTAACTCGATAATTTGGAACTTTTATATATAATAATCGAATAAAGTTATGTTAAAATTTAAAGAAACTTAAAAACAAAGTAGACACCCTTACAAGACATAATAAAATTTAAAAAGAAATATATCTAATAATTAAAAAATAATATGTAACTAAAAATATACGAAAATAATTTAAAAATTATTTTGTGAGCAATTTATTAAAAACCTTGTATAAATTTATCTAGATTAGTGTATATTCCATCTAAAATAACATTCAGATCATCGTTTCTTTAATTATATTGTACATTAGTATACAGGGTGGCCCACCACTCACTGACAATTTAAATAACTTTTGATCCAGTTAATATTTTTAGCTGATTTTTTTTTTAAATAAGAGTTATACGTTAGGTCTATAGCTATATCTCAATAATTAATTTTTTTACATTTTATTAAAAATATTAATTATTTTTAAATTTTAAATAAAATGTAAAAAAAAAATCTAAGATAGCTATTTTGTAGAGTAGAATTTAAGAAAAATTTTAGTAAAAAAATATCTTATTAATATTGAGTAGTAAATATTCTGTAGCGTTTTGAAGTTTGTGAAAATTTGAATTTTCATGTATTATTTTACGGTATTAAACATTGAAATACGTATTGAGAAAAGGACAGAAGAAAACGCTATCTTTTCATGATTACTGTGTATACATATGATGATAATGTGTATACATTACAAACTTGGCATTAATACCTTGATAAGAAATTAGATAAGGCATTTATTATTTATCACTCTCATTCATATGTCCTTTTCTCAATACGTATTTCAAAAAAAATAAAAACGGAATTGGGCAAGATGTTGTCCACCGACGGTACATCGTCCCCGGTTTCATAGGTAAACAACTGCACTCCTTGGATGTCGCGTAAAACATCCACGAGTAGTTAATACTTGCACTGATGCAACGATTTCGAGTAAACGTAAACATTTTCAAATCGAAGTCCGTTGATATCGGTCAGTAGAGTAAACATCAAGTTTGTTTTTCCACAATTTAACGGTCCGCAAATCAATGCACGTATTGTATTTGGAAAAAGTTTATNCCACAATTTGACGGTCCGCAAATCAATGCACGTATTGTATTTGGAAATAGTTTACCGTGTTTACTAGGTGCAATCTCACTACTTTTCTCAAAATTCACGATAGGTAGCGTGAGAGTCTGTTTTTTGAAACGCATCGCACGTCATTGAACAATAACTGTCAATATGAAAATAATGTTTAAACAGTGACAACGTTTAAAACAAAACCCAGAATTTTAACACAAAAATAGCATACTTTTGAATACGGTAGTCATTTTCACCATGAAGACAAATCCAGATGTCAAATTTTTTTTTTCAAATTAAAGTATATTGCATAAGCTTTAATTTAAAATATATATATAAGAGTCAGCCTTTCTGGAATACTTTCAAAAATTAAGTTGGAAAAATTCTACTTTCTATATGTATTTTATGTTTTGAACCCTCCCTGTATTAAACCATGAAGATAAAATAAAGTCCAACATTTTTTTTTCCTTTGATTATTCATATTACATTAGCTTTAATTTAAGATATATATATAAAAGTGTC